GCGTGCACGCAGATCGCCCACGTGACCCGTTCCCTGTCAGCGTTGCCTTGCCACGCGGCGCGTCCTGGTTGGTCGGGGCTGCTGACCGGGCTGATGACGTGGCTGCTGACGTGGCACAACTTTTCTAAATTGTGTTTGACTCCCGGTTTCTGATTTTCTTTTCAAAACACCCCCAGAATCTAAAATTTCACCCCTTTTTCCCAAAATCAATTTCAATTAAATCCAAATAATATTTTTACCCAATTTTATCATTATTATGATTTTTATTTTTATTAAATTAAATTAAATTAAATTAAATAAAAAATCAAATAAATAAATAAAAATAAAAATAAATAAATAAAATTTTTATTTTTATTTGGGTGTTACAGGTCAAATTACAAAAATGAGAAATGCTGACATGTAGGATGACCACATTAGCACCACAACGAGTTAGGGCGCGCCATGTGGTGGACACACTGGCAAGGGCTCCATGTGAGAGCCACGTGGGCGATCCACGTGCCTAAGTGATCTAACGGCCTGTGCTCACTCTCACATGCACGAACGGCCCAAATCCATTCTCCTATTCTGTGCGATTGGATGGTCCACACATTTTCGATTGAATGGCCCAGATCCATTCCCCTATTAGGCACGATTGGACGGGTGAGGAAGCACCATGCAAACGAAGATGGAAAACCTAGTTCGACAGAAAGAGAGTATTTAAACTCCTCTTCCACCGACACCCTAACCCTAGCCGCACGCCTGCTCACTAAAGAAGAAGAAGAAGAAGAAGAAGAAGGGTGGCCAGAGGAGAAGCCCATCCACCGACATCGCTGCATCGAAGACCCAAATTGATGCCGGTAAGTGCGATTTTCTCCTGTTCATCCCGTTTTTCCATTCTAAGCTAACCAAAATACTCTTTAATACAGAAAAACCTAAGGAAATGTCGTAACCCAAGGAAGTAGAGGGCGGAGCTCGACTAAGCTGCAACACCAAAAATTGAAAAATGTTTTGATAAGCTGAATCCTCTTTTCGTTCACTCTGTTTTCTCCACTCCTTAACCGCATAACCTATTTTCGATGCAGGGTGACCGAAAAAGCCACGAGCCGCAAAAGTGGAGCGACAGAACCTAGTTAAGCTACCGTGTTGGAGATCAGAAAAC